AGTGCATTGACATATCTGAGATCGGTTTGTGTGGAACTGATCTCTAAGTTCTTTCGGGCCGAACAATAAAACATATTAATTACGCGATAAATAAGCACAAGAAGGAGAACTGAACAATTTTACACACATAGTTTCAGTACTAATCAGCATCATTTTGTTAACCTAAGGGGTGGGTGGGCAGAGGATGAGGGTGAAAGGATGAATATTTGAAACGATGAAAAATTGGAACGATAACAAGCTGAAGGAATGACAAGCTGAAAAGATGAAAAGCCGAAGGGATGACAAGCTAAAATTAGGAATACGACAGCAACTAATACAAAAACGTCCAAAAGCACCTGTGGCAACGACAACAATTTTTCCATCCACATCAACATCAACTTGTCAACCAGGTACTGAAAGCCAAGTTTTATCACCAACAAAAACGGCATTGCCACCATTAGCTACTAATAAGACTATTTCCCGATCACCATCATTATCCGTTGAACGTTCTCGATCTCCACTGCCAAAAAAACAACAGCAGCAACCGTTCGCGAAAACACCGATCAAAAAACATGCTCCTACATTTTGTTTAGGTTCGACTCCAATGGTGAACCGTCTTAGAGCTAAACTAAATGATCATAATGCTATTGTTTCGCCATCGTCCTGCACGTCATCATCTCAATCGGTTGTTACTGCTACAAAATCGAAGGACAAACAAACAGTAAGTGCCAAAAAACATCAACATTTGTCAGAAAATGAAGAAAGTGTTAATGTTTATAATCTTTTTTATCAATTTGCAGTGATACTACGTCAACTGATGCTAAACTTGCTAAGGGTACAAATAGTGGTGTAAAAAAGAAACGTATGAAAAAGTAGCAATTTCAAACTTTTTTCTTTGTAAATTTTACTGTTGTTTTTATGATATTAGGCTCTATATTTATTAAAGATTAAATTTAAAAGTGAAGAGAAAAGGAGGAAAGCGGATAAGGCGGTTTTGTGGCCTCAATTTTTTTCGAATAAAAATTCCATGGTTGAAATCAGCATCAAATTCTGAACAAAACTGTCGCTTCAGATTTTCAAAAAACTCACTTTCATTTTTTTCAAAAATTTTAAGGCTGAGGCTTTGCAACATCGAAAATTTTTTTTTCTTTAAAGTGGTTACGTGACACATCACTAGACGCAGAATTTAATGCTAATAACGAATATGAGGTCAAAATCTGGGAAAAACTTTTCCTTGACCAAGAAAACCGCCATCTATCGAAAAGTGGCCAAAATGACTTACCTTCGTTTTTTCTAGATTAAATGCTCGGGCAAGCAACAACAAACCTCGAAACACACAAGATCTTACTGGCCGCGATTTCAGCTTTCAGAATCTGTGTCGAAAAGTTTGGAAAAAACGATTCTTCA